GCCCCTCCTTGCCTGCCCCTCACCTTCCTTCTGGGGCTTGTTCTTCTTCACCCAGTCGGCCACCTGCCTCAAGGAGTCAAAGAAGAAGTCTCCCTCCTTCTGGCTGATGACCTGGGGCGGGTGGAGAGGAGGGCATAGGGAGGCATGCAGGTGTGCGGCATCCAGGGACCCATCTCTGGCCTGGGAGGCTAGGTGCCGCACTGGGGCTCCGACCCCTCCTGCCTACGTCCCTTCACCCTGTGTGCCGCGGGGGGCCTGGCCCAGCGCACGTGGGAGACCTCCGCCCGCCCGCCTGCCCTCCCTCCCTCCCGGCCCCTGGCCTGCTGGGCCGCGCACCTTGTCCGCGATCTTGATGAAGAGGCTGCAGCCCTCCCAGGAGGCGAGCTGTAGCCGGGCGGCGATGCTGTCGCACACCTCCCGCACCCGGGTGTTGGTGCCCACCTCCACCATCTGGGCAGAGAGGGGGCAGGGGAACGTCTCAGGACGCGGCTCGGCCCGGGGTGACCCTCAACAGCCTGCTGACTGGGGCTGGGGTCGCGCCTGCCCTGTCCTGAGAAGGGCAAGACTCCCCCTCTGGAAACCTGGCCGGATGTATGCGCTGTTTGGTCACAGGGGCGCTGTCTTGGGGTCCCAAGAGTCCCAGCCTTTTGAACTTGCTCTGAGAGCCTGCCACCAGACTGCGGGAACTTCGTCAAGGCCACAGTCCGCTTGGGGAGGGCTGTGAGGGCCCCCTCGCTCCACTGCTGCCCCTTGGCCGAGGGTCTCCCGCCTCCCACCTGTCCCCTCCGCCGTCCCCAGAGGCCGACTGGGCTCTGTCCGCAGGCACCCCATTGGCGGCCCTTGCTCACCATGTCCCGGGGCCGGGTCGGAAGCCTGAGGGGCCCCCAGCCCTGTGGCCTCTTCTCCCTTGTGCCCAGCCTGGAATGCCCCCCCACACCTTTGGGACGTCCAGACTCCCGACTGCACTCCAGCCTCCCCGGGGCCCATCCCTCCCCTGTGTGGCCCGGAGCACCTGAGGGCGCCCAGCACTCAGTTCATGCTCATGGGGACTGGGGTGGGGCGAAGCGGTAGTTTCGGGGGAGACGGGGCAGGGCTAGGACAGCGCTGAAGGGGAGACCATCCACTCTATATTGGAAACAGCCGTGTCGGGCGGTGTCTCCCGGCTCTCCTCGGGTGACCCCCGTGGGGAGGGACCTTGCTCCAGCTGCGGGTCCCCGGGGGGCGCAGGGCCTCACCTCGCTCGTGTTGTTGGGCAAGCAGATCTTGTGGCACATGCGGGAGACGTTCTGCTCCATGGCCTCCACCTCCACCTGGTGCGGGGGCTGCTTCCGGGGCCCCGTCCTGGAGCAGACAGTGCACGCGCTGCACATGCCACCCGACACCCTCACCTGGGCCCAGCCTCTAAGCTAAGCTCTGTGCTGGGTACAAAACAAAAGCCAACCCCGAGACCACCGCCGTTCTGGGGGGCTGCCCTGCCTGTGGTGCTGGGCACATGGCCTAGAGCCTGGCCTCACTCCCAGGTGCCCCGAGGTTCTGAGGACACACATGGGGAAGGGACCCAGGCTGGCCAGGGGTCCTGGGCCCGGCACCAGTAGGCAGGGTGAGTTGTGTTCTCATTCCCACACAGCTGGGCAGGGGGTTGGGGATGGGGACACCCACCTTCCCCACTGCGACCCAGGCTGCCGCTCACTGTCACGTCTGCTCACCAGGTCACCCCACCCTCTCGCATAGACACAGGAGACCAAGCCAGGGCTGGAGGGCAGGCAGAGCCAGGGAGGAACTGCAGGACGGGCTGGCAGGGATGGGTCTGAGCTCACCTACTGTGGGCTGGGCTAGGGGGACACACAGGTGGCTGGGGACATCAAGGTCATCCTCTGGCCTCAGGGTAGTTCCTTCTCTGCCCTGGACAGGCAGCCACAGGGGCAGGAGGAGCTCATGGCCAGAAACCTCCACTGACCAGCCTGGCCGCCCTGCAACCCTCTGGGGTCTCACTCTCCATCTTCCTCCCCGGCTGCTGGGACCTGGTCCCGCCTCCACAAACTGACACCAGCTTCTAGAAAGGAAGCCGAGTCTGGCTCCACTGGCGGGTGTCCGCACTGGACCATGAGCTCCTGGAGGACCTGCGGGGCCCCCCGGCATCCCCAGGCCGACATTCCCGGGGGCCTAGGAGCTGTCAGGCTCACCTCAGGACCCTCTGGATGCGGCGGCTGCAGTCGGGGGCCAGCACCTTCCTTCTCCGCGTGTCTATGAATTTCTGGGCGTGGGGCAGCAGCGCCTTGCCAGGCGGGAAGAGGCCGGTGCAGAGCCACAGCAGCTGCCAGCCCCGCTCCTCGCTGTGCCTGCAGATGGAAGTGCTGGTCGGCCCGGGAGGGGCCCCCTCCCGGAAGCCCGGGCCAGCCAGGCACCTCGGGGAGATGGGGCTTTGTAGGATTTATGCTATGAGCTGAGGCCTGCCTGAGGCCCTGGGCAAGGCAGCCGCTGCCCTGCTGCCAATGCCACCGACTTCCCTGCCCACGAGGAGGGGAGGGGATGCTATCGTGCCCGTTTTGTGGAGTAGGGCGCTGAGGTTTAGAGAGGCTAGGGCCTGCCCAGGAGACAAAGGAGAGAGGCGGAGAGGCAGGGCCCGGGCAGGTCTGCCTCCCCCCACCCCCACCCCCGGCTCTGGCCAGCCCAGGAAGTCAGGGACACACCGGGTCCCAACCTTCCCACTGTTACTGCGAGGGTCGCCCTTATGAGGGGCCGCCTCCCCCTCTGAACAGTGGACACAGCCTCGGGGGCTGGGGCGAGGCCTGAGGGGGCCCTGGGCATGGCAATCCGCGCGTGCGGTGCCCTCTGCCCCTCCCTGGTCCCCGCAGACCTGTTGGTGTTGTGCGTCAGCTGCTTCAGGATCTGGCAGTAAACCTCGTCCTGCAGGGCCGCCTCCTGCAGGGCCGCCGAGAAGATCTGGTCGGTGAGCTCCAGGGAGGTCCAGGCCTTCCGAGAGGGGTAGTCGCCCATGTACCTGAGGACGGGTGCAGCCGTCAAGGAGAACGCGCCGGCGGGGCTGCCTGTCACCGCTGACCCCCGAGCCCAGGCCCGCGCGGACCCCGGGGCAGCGCTGTGCCCTGGGAGATCCGGCCCCCTGGCGGGCGGGCTGCGGGGCTGGGGCAGGCTGGCCGGGAAAGGATATCGATGAAGATCCGACAGGCGACATCCCGCAGCTCGGCGTCGGCGTGGACACGCCGGAGCAGAGGCTGCCGCAGCGGCTCGGCTGAGTGGGCCCACAGGCGGCCCCGGGGCCGGGCCAGGGGCAGCACGGCTCTGCTGACCGTCTCCTTCTCCGGGACCCTGTCAGGGATCGAGGCGGGGGTGAGGGCCCTCCTCACGCCTCCTCTGCCCGTGCCCCTCTCTGTCCCCTCCCCACCATGAGCCCCACGCACAAAGTGGCAAGAGAGCCCCGGGCTCCAGTGCAGGTCTCCACAGGGATGCCCTCTGTGCCCACAGCTCTCAGCTCAGAAACGGGGTGGTGGGGGGAGGGTCAGAGGGTCCCCTCCCTGCCCAGAGAGGCCAGGTGGGCAGTGCACCTGCTTTCATGGCCTCCAGCCCCCGGGGAGCGGAGAGCGAGGCTGCTTGGGGTGGGGTCCGGGGGTGGGCAGGGCAGTCACCTAAAAAACTCATAGGAGAATTCCTCCAAGGTGTGCAGCTTCTCCTCAGGCTGCTCCTCGGGGGCCGGCTCTGCGGGCCGCCCCTCCTGGGCTGCCAGCTTCCGCTTCTCTGGTGGCATGGCCAGCAAGCTCTGTGAGGGCACGGGTCTGTGGGTGTCCAGGAGCCCCTGCCCACTAGCTCCTCCTAGCCTAGTTGCCTCAGAGACTCGGGAGGGGCCGGACCATGGGGCTGGATAGGCCTGGGTCTACCCTTCTTGTGTCACCTGCTGTGTGACCCAGGATCAGTGACTCAGTGTCTCTGAGCCTGTTTCCCTTCCCTTAAGCGGGCTCTCAGGCCCACTGCTTCCGGCCTCAGCACAAGTGCCAGTGCCTCAGGGATGGCTTCCCAGACAGGGCAGACCCCCGTCCTAGGATTTGCTCCCATAACAACAGGTACTCCTCCTTGGTGGCACTCCGTTCGCTTGCCATCAAGTCGTCATTCGTCCCAGTGCTCCTTGAGGGCGGGGACACTACTGTGTTCAATCCTGTACTGCAGGCGCGGGGCACGCAGTTGGCGCTCAATACATGCACGCTGGAAGGCCTGTCTGTCCTGTCCCCCTGGGGGGCTGGTCTTGGGCGCTGGGGTGGGGTGGCCCCCCGGGTCAGGGTTTAAATGTGGCTGAGACAAGGACGGATGCATCCCCAGGACAGTCCCTGGTGGGAGGGGTGGAAGGAATGCCCACTGATTGAGCACCTACTAAATGCCGAGCGCTGCACCAGGCACTCACTGCGCAAGCACTTCCTGCCTCTCCGTCACCCCAGAAGGACGATGGGGCCGGCAGAGCTGACCTGATTGCCCGGGATCCGTGAGGTGGGTCCCAGGCCCCTGAGCTAGGACCCCAGGCCGGGCATCTCGGCCACTTCCCCAGGTGCTCACGGGTACCCAGCTGAGGGCAGGGGAGCATGAGTTACCAGCAGCTCTGCCGAGGGCTTGGTGACCGTTGGGATGGTGTAGACGCAGGCCGTGGGCACCAGCCCCGTCTTCTTGGTCCTGTCATTCTGGGCCAGGGTCCAGTTCTCAGAGGTCAGCAGCCCCTGCTTCTCTGTCAGGATCAGCAAGTCCCCCTTCTTGAAGGGCAGGAGGGCGGCATCCTCTACAAATCCAGGTCACACGGACACACACACGGGGCAGAGAAGATGCCGTTTCCCAAGGGCTCAGCGGAGGCCACAGGCTGGGCTGGCACCCTGTGGGCCATCTCCTTTGACCGGTGGGGAAACGCAGATGCAGAGCAGTGGGCCCAAGGCCACCCTGACAGTGAGCTGGTGGTGGGATTCCCAGAGCTCTGGCCCTCAGGGGGCCTGGACAGGCACAGAGCCTGGGGTGGCAGGAGCTGGGGAGACCTGCTCAGATGCCTGACAAGGAGATGGCTGGCAAGCCGGGAGGCAGGTGGACCAAGGGAACAGAATACCAGCTGGCAGTCACCAAGCCTGCCCGGGAGCTGGGTGACCTCTCTGAGCCTGTTTCCTCAACTGTAAAATGAAGAAAGTCATCCCTCCCTCCTGGGGCTGTTGTGAGGATGGAATGGGCCCCAGGGGCAAAGCTTCCGCTGACGTTTCTTACTGCACTTAAGACCCTGTGCACAGCCCTCCCCTGCTACCTCCCTCCTGAAGCCTGATTTCCAGCCGTGCTCAGGGAAGCCGTGGCCGAGGACTCAACTGCCCGGGCTCACCCCGCCCCCAACCCCCCTCCTGAGCTGTGTGGCCCTGGACAAGTTGTGTCCCTTCTCTGAGCCTCCAGTCCTTGCCTGTAAAATGGGACAACAGGGCAGCTGTGGGGATGGTATGCAAGGCACGGGCGGGTGGCCCAGCTGTTCTCTGCAGGTGAGGGCGCTGGCCCTCCCCACGCTTCCAGCACGAGGACAGCCTTCAGCGCACTTCGCTTTGGAGGGTTTGAGACCCCTCCTGGAGTCTCCTCATCTTGCACGTGGGAAGGCCTTGCCTACCGCTGCCCCCCGAGGGCTTGGTGGCCTCTCTGCCTCTCTCTGCTCGAGTCCTTGTGCCCCGCCTGCCACGTCACCACCGGGACCTGGCACGAGCAAGCCACCCACCTTCACCGGGTCCCCTCCCCACCTGGCTGGGTACCTGTGGCCTTCCTGTCCTGCAGGGCCATGGCGAACACGGACCTCTCCTTCAAGCCCTCCAGAAACATGGCCACCAGCTCGGCGATGGCCACGCTGCTGGAGGACCTGAACTTGAACTCCTCTTCGTGCAGCGTCACGAGCACCAGCCTCTGCCCACCCTGGGCCTCCCTGAGGGGGAAAGGGGGCAATGTGACCAGAGGTCTACTCCACCCTCCCCCTGGGTCAGCCCCTCGACAGCCTGGGCGGGGTGACCCGCCTGAGTTACAGATGAAGAAACCGAGCATCGAGTCCAGAGCCATGGCAGGGCCAGGGGCTGAGAGCAGGTCTGCCCCGGTCCCAGGCCCCGCTGTGTGTGTGGGCAGGTGGGCCACAGCTTAGGCTCCCATGGGCTCCAAACGCAGTGGTGGTATTGAGCCCCAGTCTGTGGGGTCAGCTCCGGGCAGGCAAGGTGGTGGCCAGCGTGGAGGGCCACCATGGGGCCACCGCAAAGAACGGTGGCGCTGAGATGGAGCACCAGCCTGGGTGAGCTTGGGCGAGCTACCCAGCCTCTATGTGCTTCCGTTTATTTATCTGCAGACTGGGGGTGCTGGGGGGACTTACTGGCATGGCAGAGAGCACCCAGCACGGTCAGCCTCAGTAAGTGGTGGCCAGCCTGCGCCCTGCACGCACTGTTATTGACCACAGTGGCCACACCGGGCTGTGCTTTAACCAATCAGGGGCTCTGGCAGGGCACACGCAGGCCTCCCCGAAGGGCATGGAGGCCTTCTCAGAAGGTGAGAGCCGTGGAGAGCACAGGGACAGGGCATCCGAGGTCCCATCAGGCGTGCAAGGCCGCCCTCCTGCTGCTCTGTGCCCTGCACACGCAGCCCTGTCCCTCGCTCCCTCTCCCAGAAGGCTGGCACCTCCGAGTGAGTGCTGCCCCCGCTGTGAGAAGGGAAGGAGCCTGTAAGTGAACGTACAGCCTGGAGGCTGCAAGCTTATGTGCCCCTTTCCAGGGGGCCTGGGTTCTAAAGGAAGCCTGAGAAGGCAACGCGTGATGTGCAGACACAGTGCTGGCCCTGGGACAGTGGAAGGTGGGTCCCGATCCAGCGGCCATCACACCACGCGTGTGACGTGGTATGAGCCAGCCGGGCTCCCAGGGACGATGTCCCTCCTCCTCTCCCTGTCTCTCCTGGAGCCCCCACGGGCTGAGGTTGTGGGGAGAGAGAGATTTGGGGCCTCTTCCCTCAGGGCACCCACCTGTTGGTGATCAGGCTTGTGACCTCCAGGAAAGAGAGTTCTAGGAGCATCTTCTCCTTCTGGTCCAGGAAGTACAGCCCCTTCCAGTTAACAGCCAAGATCAGCTGAGTCTTGGGCAGTCGGGGGCCTGGCGGAAGGAGACAGAAGTGTGAAGCCTGGGCTGGCCCGAGGTGTGGGCCCAGCGGCACCCTCGTACCCGGTCAGACACCGTTACCTGAGAGTGTGGTGACTTCAAATAGCCGGGAGAAGAGCAGCGGCCACTTCAGGCAGGCGGTGTTCACCACCTGCTCTTGCACGGCCAGCGGCGTGGTCTGCTTCTGGGTGTATGGGGCCTGCTCGGAGGACACGGTGACGTGTCACCTCCATTGCTCATCACCCCCCACCTAACTGCTCACCCAGCGTCCAGGGTGCTCATTTGCTCGATCATTCTGGGAAGCCTCTGCCTAAAGCCAGGCCAGTGCCGGTGAGGGCTGGGTGGGAGGCTCTGGTGGGCGGTCTTGAGAAGGAAGGGAGGCTTTCCCCTCCTCAGCATCAGAGCTCCAGAGGCTGTAGGGCCAGGCTCCTGCCTCAGCCTGGAAGCCTGTGAGGGTCACGTGCAGGTGTCTGCGGGCCCCTGTCTGCAGGCCCCCGTCTGCGGGCTCAGGCGGGCTCTCGCCAACACTGGCCTCAAGGGGCTGCATGTTGCCCCGTGCCCAAGGCCAGCCACGGTGTGTGTGTCTGTGTGTTGCTGGTGCCCCTCTGCCTCTCCTCTGCGGAGCTCTTCGTCTGCACGTTCGGGAGGCATCTTTCAGGGTCCTCGGCTTTCCCCCACCTTCACCCTTTCCTCTCCCCATCTCACTGCTCTGTGCTCATCGCTGGCTGTAACACCCAACTGAGCTTTCTTGTTAATTTGCTGAATAAAATGTTATTTCTCTGGTTCCTACTTTAAAAGGTGGTTGGGTAACATTCAGATACTGGATTGGGGGATGTAAGTTGATACATCCTACCTGAGACTTGGCAGTATGCGACGGGTGTCAGGGATTTTAGAACAGTCACATGCTCTGAAATCCCTTTTCTAGAAATCGATCCTGATGAAATAACTGGCAAACATAGAAAAGGTGTATCTACAGAGAGGTTCACCTTGCTGTTTTAACAGTGAAAAAGGGGGCATGACCTTACCATTCATCAGTAGGAATCAGTAAAGTGAATTATAATTCATGAATACAGTACTATGCAGCCCTTAAAAACAGAGAGGTCGGTATTTAGTGACACAGAAGTAGGGCCGCAAACTATTAAGTGAATAAAGAAGCATGTTTTAAAGTTATCTAATGATAATCCTATTTTTATTTTTTAAAAAGGTATGTTTTGGGCTTCCCTAGTGGTGCAGTGGTTAAGAATCTGCCTGTCAATGCAGGGGACACGGCTTCGAGCCCTGGTCCAGGAAGACCCCACATGCCTCGGAGCAACTATGCCTGTGTGCCACAACTACTGAAGCCCGCGTGCCTAGAGCCCGTGCTCCACAAGAGAAGCCACCGCAATGAGAAGCCTGCGCACTGCAAGGAAGAGTAGACCCCGCTCGCCGTAACTAGAGAAAGTTCACGCGCAGCAACGAAGACCCAACACAGCCAAAAAAAAAAAGGCGTGTTTCTCTCACTCCAATCATATGCGTGTCTCCATTGTGTACATGTGAATAAGGCAGTCTAGAAGGACACACGTCACAAGCGTAAGAGGGATGAGCTCTTTGATGTGATATTATTGGTGATTTCCCTGTTTTTGTATTTGTCTGTATTTTCTGGTTTATTTGGTAATGCCCAGGTTTTAAGTGTTTAATGGAAAAAAATCAGTGAAACTATGTCCACTTTGGAAAAAGTGTGGTGTGAATTTCCTAATTCTTTACTCTCACCCCAACTGCCCTTCCCAAATTACGAAGCCACTTCTCACTCATGTTCATCTGGGGTTGTGTGCATCTCTTGTTCCCCTCCGTCTCGTACTAGCCCTAAAACGTCCATGGTCTCTCCCCTGTAAACACATCCACTCAGGCTGGGAAACAACAGGAACAACCAACAGGGTTTGCTTCCCCAAATTCCCGTTCAAGGATTGTCCCCAAGGGATGCTAGCCTCTGCCTTGTGGAACAGAACATATGTGGTCAAGCTTGTGCGGGGAACATTGGGTAGGACAATCAGGCTTCTGTCCTGCAGGACTTCTTAGAGCCTTTCCTAAGGGCTGTGCACTGTGACACCCGAAGAGCAGGAAAGACCAAGCTGCATCCCCTGCCACAGGCGTACAGGAACCTTGTCTACGGACCCACTTTGAGCACCTCCTCCTGTGTTGCCAGAATGGAAAGCGTGTTGCTTGGTCATCCTCCCTGCCCTTCTCCACACTCGGATGGCCCCTGCTGCCACTCCCCCGGGGCTTATCCCCCTGCCACTGGGCTCTCAACCCCTGACAGACAAGCGCCATGTTGCCTTCGTATTTCCCACTGCTTGTCGTGTTCTTTCTTGGCCCCCAGTGCAAGTTAATGCAGGGGAGGCATTAACCAAAGGCTTGTATCCTCAGTAACCCCCCGTGCACAGCGCTCCTGCAGCAGCTGCACCAGCCCGCCAGGTCCTCAGAGATGCCTTTGCACCCTCAGGCCACGCTGCAGAGCAAAACACCCTATGAGGAAGGAGGCTCTGACAGAGGGCCGGGTTTGGGACAGCCCTGTGGGGAGGGGAAGAGAGACAGGGGGACGGAATCAGACAGCCTGTCTTTGTCCCTTCTTGGGGTGGAAGTTTAGGAGCAGCAGAAACCTCCGCTGGTGCGGGTGATCCCGAGAACATGAGTGGGTGTTGGGAGGTGCAGGTAGAGGCTAGGGGACGAGGCTGTGAGCCTCCGGGAGCCACCTTCACTTGGTACGGGCTGACCAAGCAGGGGTAGAAGAGGGGCAGCCCTCCCTGCTGTCCAGAGCCAGCCCCGGGCACACAGGGCCCAGCAAGGGGACACCGTAAGGCTTGGGCCAGGATGGGGCCTCACAGGGCGGGACTGGTGCCGAGGCAAGGGCGCGCTCGCGGTCAGCAGCTGGGGATGCCCTCCCGCGCCGGAAGGCCAGGGCCCAGCCCGACACTGCAGTGGAGACCAGTGCAGGGCTGAGCTGCCCTGACCTATGGCAGGATGCCACCGTGGAAGGAGGAGGGAAGACGGAACGGGCCTGTCAGAGGGAGTGGACCTGAGCGAGACTCTTTAAACCTGAAGAGACAGGGCTCTGCTGAGTGGCAAGTTAGTCTCCCAACCCCCCATGAGTGGGGACTCGTCACGGGGTCTCCACCCGCTCTACACACCCCAGGGCCCCCAGGGCCCCCATAAAGAGCTGCACAGCCCGAGTGCACAGGCTCTGGGGAGCTGACCTCGGCGAGGGCGGCGGTGACCAGGCTGGCCCACTTCTCTGGGGGCTTGGTCCTGTAGAGCTTGGGGGGGACACAGCTGGGCAGCAGCTCCTGGACGGCCTGGCTCCTCACCGAGGCGCCGAGCTGCACGGCGCAGCACTGGGCCAGCAGTTGCACCAGCTCTTTCTCCTGCACAGCCCGGGGGACACACAGCGGGGGGAGGGGGGGCGTTGAGAGCCCACCCTCCCCCAGGACGCTCTCGCCCCGGCGCAGCAGAGGTGACCAGCCACCTCCGCTAGGCAGGACCTGCCCCTCCCCCAACACAGCAGAACCTCCGCGAGCCCCGACTGGGCCCCGATGCGGGCTGGGCTCCGGCTGGCAGGCAGGGACCTCCCAGCAGCCTTGGCCTGAGCCCTGCGGGGCCTCTGCCTGAGGACAAGGGGGGATCCCCTGTGCCCCTCTCTCAGCCCTCCGGAGCCAGAGAATGTGTGGGAGGGAGCTCTGAGGCCTGGGTGGAGCCCCAAACACTGCTGTCTGAGTGGGGTGAGTGTGGGCGAGGCCTTCACCCTGTCTCCCCCAGTCCTCACTGAGCAAAGGTGACCAGTGGCCACCCCTGTACGGCCTCTGCAGGGCTCATGTGGGTGGAAGCCTGTGTAAGACCCCAGCATGCACAGCACAGAGCAGGGTTCCTGCTCCAAGCAGCCCAGGGCTTCCCGGGAGACCAGAACCTTGCCCGGCCACCCAGCTGCCTGCCCTCCGGGCCCCCTTTTCCCCTCACCCCTGACTCTCCCTGCCCACTGCCCCATTCCAGGCAGGCCTCCAGGGCTGCCATGGCTGCCTCCGACCCCCCAGGGCAACATCCTCTGATTCAGGCCCGGGAGGTCTGCACCCACCGAACAGGTGCAGTGCTGCCCTAGGGCTTCCGGTGCACAAGCTCCCTTCCCTCGAGTCTCACAAACATACAGAAAGCTCAGGTGACTCTGCACTTTCCAGGTGAGGGCCAGAGGCTCAGAGAAGTGACCTGAAGTTCCAAGGTCACACTGCCAGAAAGAAGCACAGGTGGGACCTGAACTCAAGTGCTGGGGCTCCAAGGCCATGTTCTTGACCCCCAGGCCCTGCTGCCCCATAAGCAGCTGCCGTGGTGAGGCCAGGTGGGCTCGGGGCTGATGGGAGGGCTTCCCCACCTGCTGCAGGTGCCCCAAACCCCAGCGGCTTGAGCAAACCTATGGCTGAGGGAAGAGATGGAGGCGGCCGGGCAGGGACAGCTGCGCCCAGAGGGGCCCAGGGACCTGCACTGGCGGACGCACCCCCGGGCCCGCTCCTCTCCCCTGGCGGCCTGCCCTCCAGCTCCCCATGGCCATCTCTGGTGGCCGCAGCCCAGCTGCCCTTGCTCTGTCCCTGCCGCCCCTGCGCTGGAACAGGGCGCTTCCTCAGGCTGTCTGATGGGTGGGTCTTCAGGGCCCTGACGGCCGCGGTCCCCTCACCTTCTCGAAGCTGTACTCGCCGGACCGGACTCCGTGGAGGACTTGGTGGTAAATGAGGCGGGTGCTGACCGGGTCCTCCCGGGAGTCATGCCACGGGGTGAAGAACTCCTTCCGGAAGTAGAGGCGCCAGGGCGTCTGGCGCTCGCTCTCGCCCCTCTCCCGGGCCAGCTGCTCACACTGGGCCACGGCGTCCATCACGTGGTCGCGCCCGCTGCCCAGGGACCAGAACTGAGGCCAGAATCGGGGCGGCAGGGGTGAGTGACTGCTGCATGTCAGGCTGCCCCACCTGCCCCTGGCACACGGAGGACAAGAGCCCGCTGGACGCCCGAGGGACTCCTCCCCACGTGGTGTGGACTGTCAATCACCCCCCCAACACTGTCCCCCTGCCCGCCCCGCCCACAGGCGGCACATGCCCACGTGATGGGGTCAGAACACTGATTGGTTGGTTGGCGTGAGCACGTCTCGGTCTGAGGCTGTGGGCATGGGCGTCAGGGCATCTGGGGGGGCGACGATGTGGGGTTCAGGTGGGGCAGTGCTGGTGTGACCTCCGCACTGCTACATGGGAGTCTGAGCTCCCAGCGTGGGGGGCTTGGAGCAGGATGTGGGGGGGGACCTACCAGTGTGCCTGTGACACCGTCTGGGGCCGAGGTACAGCCACTGGGCTGAGCGCATGAGTGTTGGGGCAGGAGGGCACGTTGCCTGGTTAGGAGGCATGTCTGTGAGCGGGAGTTTGTGTTCGTATCTGTTTGGCAGCCGGCAAGGCGAGCGGTGGCTAGGCTGATAGGCGGGTGGTAGATGGGACCCCCTGGCCAGTACCTTGTCGTACACGGCAACCTGCAGGGAAAAGCCCACGTGGTCGCTGAGGCCCTGCTTGTGGGCGATGTGCAGGCAGACTTCCCGAGACGTCGAGGCTGAGTCCACCGAGACGGTCAGGCTCTCTCCAGTCGCCAAGGTCACATGGATCGGGACGCGCTTCTTGGACTTGACAGCCTGGGGACAGACGAAGACTCAGGTCCTCTACCCGGGAGGCTCCTGGACTCAGCTGCCGGCGCTGGTGCTCCCGGAACCCTGGGATGGGAGGCCGGTCCACCATCCCCTCTTCTCAACATGCTGCCCCTGCTGGCTCATCCCTGTGGGTTCCAGGGGGAGGAGCCTTCTGAAGCCCCACCCGGTTCGGCAGGGAGTTAACAAAAGTCCTGGCCAACGGACATCTGCTACTGAACTGACAGACTGGGCCAGGGCCGCGCCCAGGGACCACAGGCACAGAAGGCGGTGGACGGGCCCGGAGTGCACACTTCCTGCCGGCAGCCCCATGAGCTGGAAGAGCCATGACGGCTGGCACCACCCCACATGGACCGTCTCTCGCCCCTACCTGCAGCTCCAGCCAGGAGGGCGGCTCCGTGCGCACCCCGTTGGCACAGGTGCGTCTCAGGCGCTCAGCACAGAAGGGCCCGTAGCCGACTGGCCCTTGACCAATGAAGTTCAGCAGATACTGGTGGGCGAGGAAGGGAAGGGGATGAAGACACTTAGAATAGAGGACACTTTCTACTTGCTGTCCAGATTCTAGAAACTGTGATACTAATTGTAACTATGGATGTTGGATGTGTTAACTAACCTTACTTGGCAATCATTCTGCAATACACACCTATCTAAAATCACTACACTGTACACCCTACACTTGAACAATGTTATATGTCAATTATATTTCAGTAAAACTGGAAAAAATTTTTAAATGAAAATAAAAATGATAATAGTGTTGGCAAAGGTGTATTGACATGGGGCTCTCACACTGTGAGAAGAAATATCAATTGCATGGCATTTCTGAGGAGTCATTTGTCAATATGTTTTAAATAGTACATAGTTTAAAAAGTACACTCTTCGACTTAATAATTCAAACCTGTGATAAAGGGAGATATATAGGTTTTTTTGCTTTTCATTTTTTAAATTTATTTAGTCTTTTGGCTGCATTGGGTCTTCGTTGCTGTACGTGGGCTTTCTCTAGTTGTGGCGAGCAGGAGCTACACTTTGTTGTGATGCGCGGGCTTCTCATTGTGGTGGCTTCTCTTGTTGCAGAGCACGGGATCTAGGCACGCGGGCTTCAGTAGTTGCAGCACGTGGGCTCAGTAGTCATGGCACGCAGGCCCTAGTGCATGCGGGTTGCAGGAGCTGTGGCATGCAGGCTCAGTAGTTGTGCCGCATGGGCTCTAGGGCGCATGGGCTTCAGTAGTTGTGGTGCGTGGGCTCAGTAGTTGTGGTTTGCTGTCTCTAGAGCACAGGCTCAGTAGTTGTGGTGCAGGGGCTTAGCTGCTCCGCGGCATGTGGGATCTTCCCGGACCAGGGCTCGAACCCATGTCCCCAGCTTTGGCAGGCGGATTCTGAACCACTGTGCCACCAGGGAAGTCCCTATAGTTTTTAATCATAGTGGTGTTTATGGTGATGGGCAATTGGAAGATGGATCCTAAATGTCCATCAATGAGTGAAATACACGCTGGGACAGCACTAACAGATGGCATTAGCACAGCCATTTGGGAACAGTTTATGACATGAGAAGACACATAAGATAAGTGAAAGCTGCAGGAGAGCCGATGTTCAAAATATGTTTGATAAGATGCTGAAACAAGGCATTGAAAACTTTTTTGTCTCTCAGAGAGATTCTTTGAGGAGATGCAGCCTGGAAGGGTTTACTGGTGTCAAGGGTGGCCCAGGGCCTAGGGCAGATGGCCAGGGTGACCACACTTCCTGCTGTCCCTGAAGGGACAAGAGGTAGTGATATTGTTTTCTATGTGATTCCAAGTATGACCCTATCACACCACAAAAGGCCAGGAATTGTAATGGAAGTTACCTCTGGGTGTGGGGATGACTTTTATTTTCTTTCTAGATTTTCTTCATATCCTACATATTACACTTTTTTTTTTTTTTTGCGGTACGTGGGCCTCTCACTGTTGTGGCCTCTGCCATTGCGGAGCACAGGCTCTGGACGCGCAGACTCAGCGGCCATGGCTCACGGGCCCAGCCGCTCCGCGGCATGTGGGATCTTCCCGGACTGGGGCACGAACCGTGTCCCCTGCATCGGCAGGTGGACTCTCAACAACTGCGCCACCAGGGAAGCCCCCTACATATTATTTTTATCATCAGAACCAAAAGGTATATTAGAGTAGCAAAGGCTGGGGCCTCCAACACTTGAAAGCACCTCCCTTGTTAGTTCTAAGGCCTAGAGAGAGATGCTGCAGCCAATCTCTGGTTGGTGCTCACTCCTTAGACCCCTTTGCCTTTTCAATGCCCACTGCACCCATTGATTGTCTCATTGTCTCCTGGTGACTGAGCCCAGGTAAGATGACTCTGCAGATCCTGATTAGAGGTTGGAAGGAGCATCCTTTTTTGCAGACGGGAAACTGAGGCTCAAAGAAGCCCAGGCACTGATACCCATCCTGGCCTGCACTAGCAGGAGAACTGGGCCATGCATGCGTCAGGATGTCTGGACCTGCTCCAGGGCCCCGGGCCCACCCGTGCTGCCCCCGCCTTCAGCCCCTGCCCCCGGCCCTTCCCACCTTCATGAACCTTTCGGAGGGCGGGAAGCAGCCCAGGCACAGGCCAAGCAGGATCCAGCCCCGGGCCAGGCTGCTTGTTTTGTAGTTCTCCGAGAGCTGCTTGCAGATCTGGCAGTAAATCTCGTCCCTAAAAGACACGGAGCGCTGGGAGGCCAGGCAGGGGGCTGGCTCTGGGGGAGAAGAGGAGAACGGGGCACAGGGGCACACAGCTCCTTCTGCACCCCTAGGGGCAGACATGTCTGCAGGGGGACCTCCAGCCTCCTCGCCTCCAATTGCTTTTGCTGCACACCCTCACCTCCTCACATCCAGGCCCACCGTGGACCCTGTCATCTCCCAGGACTGTGCTCCCTCCAATGTCTCCCCAGTGGGCTCTGTAGCCCCACTCCTTTTTCTTCCCCCCTTAATATTTATTTATTTATTTGGCTGTGCTGCGTCTTAGTGCGGCACACGGAACCTAGTTCCTGAGCAGGGATCGAACCCGGGCCCCCTGCATTGGGAGCGTGGAGTCTTAACCACTGGACCGCCAGGGAAGTCCCTCTGCACCCCCGTTCCTGATAGCCCTTGTTTCCTGTCTTCCCAAGGCCTCAGCCCTCCGGCCTCCCAGTCAGTCATCTCGGCCCCTTGGGCCTTTGCTCCCGCCCTCACCCACTCTGCTCACAGCACCTTGACCCTCCAGCTGTGGGTCACAGCTACAGGGAGGGCCGAGGGGTCTCCAGCCAAAGCCCTGCTCCTAGTAGATCAGCCCAATCTGATCTGTTCCTTTCCCCAACCTCACAGTTATTTCAAACCTTTCCCTCTGCCTAGAGGTCCTCCCCCTTCCCCTGAATGAAGCACCCCCCACCCCGCCACTGCAGGGAGGAGAGTGGGGACTTCAAGGGAGAACCCCTCAACTCCTCACCTCCTGATCAGTTCCCATTCCCACAGGCTCATGAGCCTCTCTTCTCTGTGTCCTCTTGGGGAAGGGGCTTTCCTCCACTCTTCCCTGCTGACTCAAGCCTCTATCGACTTATAAAAGTGTCACATTAGCCTCTCCAACCTCACACATCCAGAGACCACCATCTTTCCCCTAATTACACAGCGGTATGCTCCTAAATGTTTAACAACCAACTCTTCTGGGGGAAAAAGCCCTGAAATTCATTGCATTTGCCAATTTCTGTGGTGTAAATATTCCCACCAGTGCTGATTTCAAGCTACCAATGTCACGTTGCTGACCACAGAATTCAGAGGAGATGTGCACGGCCAGCTTTCCTGGGCCAGTACAGTCAGTCCCAGCAGACCTCCTCCTTCTGCAGCCTCTGCAGGCACTGCCATCAACCACTCTCCCAGATGGGAAATCTGGGGGCCACCCCAGACTCCACCCATCAGCCACCACATCCTACTATCTGTCTCCTGGAAAATTTCTCTGTCCCCTGCTCTCCACTTCTGCTCCCTGGGCTCCCTCATCAGCTCTGCAGCAGCCCTCTCCTGGCCTCCCACCCCCAGGCTCCATCCCTCCATGTCATTGCCAGGAAGATCTTTCTGGAAGTCATCTATGATCATGGTCTTCTCTTAAAGCTTTTCCCTGTGCTCTAAGGATTGAATTCAAACTCCGGGCCCCAGCTGGGACAAATCATCCGGAATTCCAGACCCTCAGGCTGTTTCAGAACTCTGTGACCCTGATCACCCTCTCCCTCTGTCTAGCGAACACCCCTCCTCCTTCCCACCCCACCTGGCCCTACTCTTTTTTGGTGCCCCCACTGGATCAACACCTTAGCACAGGCAGTTATTGTGGGTCTCCGGGTCCTCCCATGCTCCCCAACTAAAGGATGGGCTCCTTGAGGACAGAGACACGTTGCCTTCATCTCTACATCCCCAGCCCACAGGCCAGGGCCTGGCCCTGAGCAGGTACTTAATAAACATTTATCAAACGTGTGGCTGGATGTGAAGTGGGGCATTTGCTTTGTCTTGGAATTTGGCTAAGACTCCAAAGCCAAGGATAAACAGATGATAATACTCAATATTCTAAAGAGATACACTCTTGTAGGATTTACTAAAAGATGGCAGAACCAGTCCAGCCAGCACGCCATCTCCAGCCTGCATAAAGGAAGGTGAGAAATTTGAAAGGTGATTCCTGGAAGCGACTTCATGGGAGTAGAGAGATCTCTGGCTCATCTTCACTACATCTAAGTGAGGGGGAGTGAGGGGGGACCCAGGAGAACTGCTAATGGAGATGGAGATTGTCTGCTAGAGACGGGACCCATCTCACTCCCCATCTGAGGCATGATGAGCCCCAGCAGCCCATTGGACCACCCCAGGGTACTGCACTTGTACAGTTTGGTGGGGCAAGCGTGGATGGGTGTCGGTTGACCAAGAGGAGGCCATGGAAGGAGCTGGGCTTCAGGCATCTTGCTGGGATCCACACAAGCAGGCCAACCATCATTCCAGAGGGTCCCAGTGGTTAAGAGGCTGTGGTATGTTCCATTAGGGTCTAGAGATGACAGAGAACGTCAAGGGATCTCTGAGACAGTATTGGCCCCAGCTGGGGTCAGGACTGTGTGGAAGTGTCTACAGGGTATCTGAAGAACCCACAATCATCTTATATGGGTCTGCCATGTTGGAGGGTGTGGTGGCCAGTGAGGACTAACCATGAGAGAATTACCAGTAGAACCAACTAAGTTGGAAGAGTTGCCATGTTAGTGTCATGCAGGCAGCTAAAACGCTAGTCTTACTGGCTTGAAGAACCAGAAGACAGAGTTTGGGTACCCACAGCAGTTGAAAGTGAAAACAGAAATCCTGTAATGAAGACAGCCAAAGAAAAGCAGTCCTACATTTTGCATATAAAATCTTCCTGAATCTCTGGCTCACCCTTGATCTACACATGTGTGGGGAAGACTCCAGGTAGTCCAGCAAAGGCTAAAATAACTGAACAGGGTTTCCAGGTGCTGCTCACCAAAGGGAGGCAGAGTTTGAATCCACCCAAGTTAATTGTCTGCCAAAATGAAAAGTCAACACTCTCTGAAGGAATACAACAGATTCCAGAGTCTCTAAACATATCATCCCCAAATGTCTAGGATACAATCCCAAAGTACTAGATTTCTGAGAAAATAACAGTCAGGTACTGGACATATGAGGAAACAGGAAAACATGACCATTCTCAAGAGAAAAGGCAATCAGTGGAAACTGGCCCCAAGATGAACCAGATATTGGATTTATCAGAAAAGGTTTAATAACTATCATAACTGTGCTCAAAGATATAAAGGACACTATGCTCATAGTGAATGAACAAACAGGATATCTTGGCAGAGAAACAGAAACTATAAAAAAGAACCAATTGCAAACTCTAGAATTGAAAAATACAACATCTGAAATTAAAAAAAAAATGTTGGATGGGTATAATAGCAGACTGGGGAAGACCAAAGAAAAATCAGTGAATGTGAAGATAGATTAATAGAAACTACCCAATCTAAAGAACAGAGGAGAAAAAAAGAAAGCAGGGACGAACAGACCCTCAGGGATGTGAGGGATAATATAAAAGTCTTCCATAGGTTTAATTAGAGTTCAAAGGAAAAGAGAGAGAGAATGAAGTAGAAAAAAACATTTGAAGAAATAATGCCCCAAATTCCCCCAATTTGGTGAAAAATAATAACTTAAAATATGTGAACCCTTGAGATACAGTAGTCTGTCCCTGATAGCAGTATACATGGTTCTTTAAATTTCTATAAAAACACAATTCCTGTAAAGCAAATTGTATATAAAGTAAAATACATGTAACATAAATGAGGGACTTGCCCATTTAAACGGACTTGCATTAAAGCTGGTTATCAAATGAATCACCAGCCCATGATGAATTTGTCTTCCTAAAACTGGGTTTCACCCAGGGGTTTTAACCCAGAGCAAATAGAGAACCCTTGATGATAACGTCTGCTGTCCTGAGACCCAGCCTGCAGGCCCCAGGGTAGGGAGCAGGACAGGGCTGCAGCCATGGGCTGAGAGCCAATGAGGGGTCCCATGTTCTGAATGGGGTGCGACGGGGGTGGGGACTGACCTGAGGCTGGGCCGCAGGATGGCATAACCCACAATGAACTGCACCTTCTCCAGATTGGACATGGGTCGGTCTGAGATGGGTTCGTCAGGATCAAATGCCTCTTCCCTGATATTCAGCTGGCTGGCCACCTTGAAACCCAAAGGCGGCAGTCAGGACAGCTGAGATTCTTCCCATTTGCAAAGGAGGAAACCGGGGCGAAAGCCTGGAATGCTGCCGCAGGCCAGCCAGCGGGCAGCAGAGCTGGGGACAGGCCCAGGTCCCCTGTCCCTGGGCTCACCTGGCCCGTGACCCTGGAGGACCGCTTCAGATTCATGGAGGAGATGTCCTTGGTCCCTCTGTCCCTGTGGTTGGGCCTCTGTGGATGGAGACAGTTCTTGAGGGATGGTGAGCTGGGGTAGCACCTCCCAATCTGACCCAACAGTGCCTAGGGTGGGGCTAGTCTCCAGATCCCCCAGCCATTTCCCAGCCGATTGACAAAGCGCCGAGCAGCCCCTCATCTTGACCGAGCTGTGCAACACTGACAGGTGTGCATTGCCATCCTCACAGCTGAGTGAGGAAACAGAGGCGAGGGAAAGTGAGAAACTGGACAAAAGCTGCTCGGCCAGTCACCCACCCTCTGGGAGGGCTCAGGACTGTCCTGATTCCAAAGCTTGGACCTCTCGCCAGCCAAGCGGGCTGGGTCTGAGCCCAGGTGCCCAGGACAGCCCCAGGCTATGGTCATTCTCTGTGACAATTTGGTGGATGAATTGGAATACACTCCACCCACTGCAAGGTAGGGCTTTCCCAGAGATGAGAAGATTCTAAGCTGCGAGGCCTGGTCTGGGTGGGGGGGGGGGGGGTCTGCCCCCAGCCATCGTGATCTGCTAGTCTCCTTAGGCAGGGGTCACACCCTGTCCTGATGGTGTCATGAGAAGTTGCTGCCAAAATTAGAGCTCAATGTGGGACCGGGTCCAGGGCTGGGCACCAGCTTCTGGCTGGGCTAAAACTGGTTTGCCACACAGGGGACAAACATAAAACATGGTAGGCTGGCGGGCGAGGGTGGGCAAGGCTCACTCAGCCCACTGCTCCTCCTCGGGGGGCACACAGTGGGTGCTTAATAAGTGTGCAGGAAGGAACATTCGAGATCTGACCTCTGGGAAGCCAGTCCTCCCTGTGCTCACCTTCCAGAGGTGCCAGTGGCTGGACCACCTCCCAGCATCCCCTCCCTGAGAGGTGGCCAGTCTCCCAGGTGGCCCCCAGTGGCCCTTGCCTCCTGACATTCTCACCCACCGTGGCATGTAGGCATTGAAGCTTCCTTCCTGCTGTCTCTCTGAGGTCACTCATTGTGGAGGAAGCATATGTGAGAACACTCGGGCAGCACCACGGAGAGGCCCAGGTGGCCAGAGCTGAGGTCTCCTGCCAGCAGCTATGTGAGGGAGTCATTTGGAAGCAGATCCCATAGCCCCAGTCGAGCTTGGAGATGACAGCTTGACTGCAACCTCACCAGAGACCTTGAGCCCGAACTAACCAGCTAAGCTGTTCCTGACCCTCAAAAACTGTCTGAGATAATGAATGTGGGCTGTTTCAAGCTGTCAAATTTAGGGGGTAATTTGTTACACAGCAATGAATGACTATTACACTCTGCAGAGCCCACATCTCTAGAGGTCAGGGAGTCAGGGCTTGAGTTTGGGCAACTTCCATGTAATCCCTGGACCAGATCTGGCCACGTGATGCCAGGCTGCAGACTCCCTTAGATGTCTATGCAGTTGGTCTGCACACAGGACCTCACAGCTATCTGAGCTGAGGTATGGGGCACTGTGATATTGTGATTTCTAATAAGAAATATATATTTGGTCTTTGTCCCCATGACTGGCACAGAGCTCCTAAAACCCTTGGAATTTCCTATGATAAAGGTGTCTTTTTATGTTAATGAGGTGACTTTTGGAAAGCACCTAAGGGTGGGTCTGGTTGCCAGGGGACAAGGGGAGGGGGAGGGGCGGGAGATTGAGTTCAGCTGGCTCAGCGGCCAATGATTTCATCCATCGTATCTGTGTAATGAGGCCTGCGGAAAACCCCAAAAGAACAGGGTTCAGAGAGCTTCCAGGTTGGTGACCACTTGGAGGTTTAGTGAGAGTGGTGCCTGGAGAGGACATGGAAGCTTCTTTTTTTTCCCCTATTATTTATTATTTATTTTTTGGCTGCACCGTGTGGCTTGTGGGATCTTAGTTTCCCGACCAGCGATTGAACCCAGGCCCTCAGCAGTGAAAGTATGGAGTCCTAACCACTGGACCACCTGGGAATTCCCCATAGAAGCGTCTTAATCTTTCCCCACACCATGCCCTATGCATCTCTCCCATCTGGCTGTTCTGAGTTGTATCCTTTTATAATAAACCAGTAACATAGTAAGTAAAATGTTGCTCCGAATTCTCTGAGCCACTCTCGCAAATTAAACCCAAGGAGGGTGTCGTGGGAACCTCTGATTATAGCCAGTGGGTCAGCAAATGAGGAACAATCTGGACTTGTGCTGAAGCAGGGGTCATCTTGAAGGATGGAGCCCTTCATCTGTGGAATCAGACGCCATCTCCAGACAGATAGTGTCAGGATTGAGTTGAACTGTAGGACACCCAGCTGGTACTGAGAAGTCTTGGTGTGGGGAAAAATCCACATACATTGGAATTGGTGTCAGAATCATAGGCAATCGTGGGACTCCTAATGCTGGTGGGCCCGAGTGCTATCACTGCTGTGTCATTCCTTTGAACTATTTTGGTTAATTCCACTAAGATGACATCATGAAACCAGGGCTTTAGGAAGGACTTCTGACCAAACATGGATGTGAATTAACCTTCCATCAGAGGACAGGGCAGAACATGGGTAAGGAATTTGGTCTCTGAATTCAGCAGAATGGATTCAAAGCCCAGCTGTGTCACACGTATTCACAGTGCTCTGGGGACAAGTCACTTCACTTCTCAGTTTCTCTAGCTACAATAAACTTAATGATCCCTACCTTGTAGGGATGGCTCCACTGGAAATTAACTGAAGACAAGCAACTGGCACATAGCACGTCGCCAGTCAGTCATAACATCTGTTGTTAGTATTACTGTCCAATGTTCAGGTCAAGCCCAGTGTTCAGAACCTGGGAGATCCTCTCCTATGATGACTGTATGAATTCACAAAGTCCTGGGTGTGATGCCTGACTCATGAGTTCCTGAGCGCCATTCAAGACTGAAAAGCCTCGGGGGCCCCTGGGTCCAGCAGGCGATGCTCACTCCACGTCTTGCCTCCCCCTTCCAGTCCAGCTTCCGGGGCCTGGGGACCCCGGAAGGGAGTACGCCCTTTGTGCCCCCGCCCACTGCGCACCTGTGTGGATCCGCCGTGTGCCGGAGGCTGGGCACCGCTCTCCCTGCCCGGGGTGTCATGGGTCTGCGGCATCACCGAGCCACCACGCAGGGTGTTCCTGGCAAAGAGCACGGGCTCCGGGATGTCACCCATGAACCTCAGGATGATGTTCCACACAGCCAGGGCGGCCTGGGGAGACAGGGACAGAGTGCCCAGCTGGAAGCCAGCTCCACGCAGCAGGGAGCCCACAGAACCCCGTCCGTGCCTGGTTCCCGCTGAACCAGGGGGAGGCCTGAGCCACTAGAAACCAGAGAACCAGGTACCGAGCAGTCGGCATCCTCCTCGTGGTAAAGCAGAGGGTATCGGAGGGGCCGCCGGATGTGTGTGTGGCTGGCTGATTTCTGAAAGTAGGTCATGGCGAACTTGGGGAAGGTGTACTCGGCCAGGCCGTCTGCGTCCTCCTCGGGCTCCTCCATCATGGGGACCGTGTCCAGGTCAACCTCGGGTAGCTGCTGGGTCCTCTCTTCCAGATCCTGGGTGCCAGTGAGAGAGAGGGACAAGGGTCTGCTGTCCTTTCAGATGTGACCTGGCAGCGTGTGCATCTTTGGGGGCCAGGGAGCCCCAAGAAGGGTCTGTCTGGTTATTGACGGGGTGCAGAATTATCCACTGCCCCTTGTGTTGGGGACCTCCCCGACCCTCACCCTCGGTGGGCCCCTGGTGGGCTGCCGGGTGCTGGGCAGGCCTCGGTGTGAAAGCCCCAGGTATCTGGCACCCTCTGCCTGCAGACCTGGGCTCTCCAGACACCCCCCACTCCCCACCCGCTTCCTGCTTGCTTCTGTCAAATGCTCCTCCAGTGGAGGGGGGCCGGGCTGGCCGCACTGCACAGATGATTTGTGTTGGTGGGGGGGGAGCCTGGGCGGGGGGAGGGGGAGGCATGAGCACCTTGGGGGGCCCCTAGGTCACTGGCCCAGAGCAGGATGCGGTGCGAGTCAACGGGACAGCTCCGGAGCTGCCCCCAAATCAGACACGCCCTCCTCCTGCCGTGCGTTTTCTACCTCGGGTCCCCAGGTCACATACTGCAGAGCGGCAGTGACGTGCTCTGTGACGGGGGCCAAACGCACGCGGGAAACGCTGCCCGATTGAAAGTCCAATGACATTCGCGCAGTAAAGGCTCTAGGAAGTCTTGCAGGTAAGAAACCTGCTCAACTTGAAAGGGTTTGACCACAGAGACCCTCGCTCCTGTTTTCCCTGCATCTTCGCCCAGGACCGCAGAACTCACTTCAATACCTACCTACTCCATCGGCTCCCCGAGCTGAGTCTTGGCTTTTCAGGAAAGCCTAGAGGTTGGCCCCTGGACACAGCACCCCTCGCTGCTGGGCCGGCAGGGCCTATCTTACCTCGACGTGCGGTGTGGCCTGGCCTTCCTGCCCGCCCATCAGGGAAGGCAGGAAGCCGAACACCTGTTCCACCATCTCCGTGTCGGTGACAGTGTCGTAGATGGACTTACGCTTCCTGCGGGGGACAGCGCTTGGGCTTTTCTGCTCTGCAGCAGGGATGACCAGAGACTCCTGCACAGACACCCCGGGGGGGGGGCACGGTTACCACAGGCCCGGCTGGGGCAAGCCCCTCCCGGGAGCCAAATAAACCTCCTCCCGCCATATTTGTCCAAATCAATACATTTCCCTCTAAAATCCTAGGTTTTAAAAGTGACAGGGACTGGAGATCCACCAGCCTGGGCTTCTCCTTTCCCAGCGGATAATTAGAGGTCCAGAGAGGGGAGGTGCTTGCTTGTCCACACAGGGTACCACGCCAAAGCCTGAACACCCCCAGAACCTAGCTGCAAAACCCACTCAGGCCCACCTGGTCCCTTCACAAAGAGTACCAAGGCTCCCCTGGGAGGGGGCCCTGGGCCTGCCCCCGTCTGGGGCCATGTGGGGGCAGGAACACGCTGCTGACATGTCTGGGGCTCTGCACTCTTTCCTGCTCTGGCCACTGTACTAGCACTGTGCCCCGTGGACCCATTTTCATCTACGGAGCAGGGGAAGACTTCATCCTAGGCCCTCTTTCCTTATCACCACTGCCAAATGAGCAAGTTCTGAGGAGTGAGGCAGAGTCTCAGATGCTCTCCGAATGGAGGAAATGGGATCACGCAAGGGTGAAATTTCAAAACTCAGGGATATGCAGCTCGGCGCCGCTCCCCTGTTCCCTGCCCTCCCACCTCTCTTGCCAGGACTCTCTTGAAGGCTCCTCTTGGTATTTCTTGGTATTTTTGGACCTGGAGGGGGCAGAAGTGTCTGGCGAGAGCCCTATGTTGCTGCCCATTCCTTCCGCCTACCCTCCCTCACCTGGGCCCAGCCACCTCCCATCTGCCCGAGAGGGCAGTGACCACCTACATTGGCTTTCTGCCGCCGGAAGTTCCGCCGGACAGCTGCGCCCCTGGCATATGCCTGGATGACCACCACTGCCCTCCTCTTGGCCTGGACCTGCTGGCGCACCAGGTAGCCCCTGCAGAGGGCTTGCAGCTGGACAATCCTCTGCCGCATGTCCTGGTACTGCTTTGCCAGCAGGTGGCTCCGGGCAATGGCCTGCAGACGCTCAAAACCCAGGAGGATCTGCGGAGGCAAGAAGGACGGGCACTCACAGAGAGGCCTGGGCCCAGCAGGGCACAGAGCAGAGAAAGGCCTTCCCGAGGGGACAGAGAGCAAGGGGCAAGGCGTCCTCACAAATCAGCTTTACAGTTACCTGCTTTACGGCATAAGCGCTAGTGCTAATATTTTATGTGCCTGTGAGTACAAGCATATTAAGTGAGTTAGTTACACTTGTAAAGCAGTTAGACCAGAGCCTGGCATCAAATTAGCGCTAACGAAGTCTTTTTAAATGGCGTCAATAATAAAGTAGTTTCCTGGGAGTTCTACCAGTAACAGAGAACTAGTTTGCGTGTCACACGCGTGATACGATTCCAGAGGCCTTGCTTTTCACACCTGCCGCCAAGTGCAGCCAGCTTGTGTGCAGCTGGAGTACCTGTGTGGAGGCCTATGGCCGGCTCCATCAAGCTAATCCCTCAGGGATCTTGAAAATAAGGAGGAAATGATAAACTATGAGTACCTGCTTCTATGCTGCAAACACACCCTAGGCCACAGCAGTCCCTGAGCCTCTGGGATGGCTCCTGTTGGCTTCTGAAAGACCAGCCTAACGGCTGCCAGGTGTGAGGGGTCATGCTTCATCTTACAGGTTTGGAAGTCACACAGACACACATCCCAACTCCAGCTCTGCTGCTTACTGACTGCGTGCTCTTGGGGAAATGACTTAATTTCCCTATGCCTCGGTTCCTCGGCATACAGCGTTGGCTTAATAATAAATAAAATGGGGACTTCCCTGGTGGCGCAGTGGTTAAGAATCCGCCTGCCAATGCAGGGGACACGGGTTCGAGCCCCGGTCCGGGAAGATCCCACATGCCGCGGAGCAGCTAAGCCCGTGCACCACAACTACTGAGCCGGCACTCTAGAGCCCGCGAGCCACGGCTGGAGAAAGCCCGTGCGCAGCAACGAAGACCCAACCCAGCCAAAAATAAATAAATAAAATAAATAAATGTATTAAAAAAAAAAAGACACCTAAGAAATTTAGGAAAAAAAATAATAAAATGACGCACACAGAGCAACAGGTCCCAAGGAGCCTTTCCATCCATGTCAGTTGCCAATGTGCCCTTGTGAGCACGGAATGAGGACAGGTGTGGGTCAGTTTTGCTGACGTGACCACGGCATGTCCCAACCACAGTCGCAGCCATGACCAAGGCAAGCAGTCCAACAGGCCCCATAGGACACGGTTCAAGGTTGCTCTGGTTGGCTTGTTGCGCAAACACTCGTTAGCAGTGCCTGTGGTCGAGGAAAAAATGCTTGAAACAGAAAATAATCAATCCATTAACTTATTCTGTTGCCTGGAAATTGGGAAGAAAAGCCACCATCTAATTTCAGAGCAGGACATCTCATTCTAGCCCTGGAGATGCCCCAAATTCTGCAGGAGAACGCTTTGAAACCTGCAAACTGTGTGACCTGACACTATGCTAAGAAGAGTGTGTGGGGTGCTGAGGTCTGGATCATGCCTGTGGCTGATGGGACGCTTCCTGCCCCAGCTCTCACAGTCACAAACGCACGCCAACATTCGTTTCTAATTGGACGGCTGCTCCCGCAGGCTCCGCCTCCCACGTGAGTCTCTCACCAGCTTGAAGTTCCTCCGGCTGTAGTTGCCTCTCCACCAGGCCTGGAGGGTCACAGCTGCCCGCCTCTGCCTCAGGAACTCCTTCCTAGAAGCGGAAATGCAAGTCAGTCGTAACAACCACAGACATTTTAAAGCCTTTGGGGGGGAAAACTGATTTTGAAGGAAGAGAGGAAATGAATGCCTACAATATTTCTTTTCCAGAAGCCTTTATAGGCTGAAAGACAGACAGGTTAGGAACTTAAAATCTACTGCCAACAACTAAATTTGTGAATGAGGACAGCTCAGTTCTTATTTATTTATTTAAATTGATCTTTTTTCTTTTTCTTTTCTTTATTTTTTTTGGCCACGCCACACAGCTTGCGGGATCTTAGTTCCCCAACCAGGGATTGAATCTGTGCCCCCCGAAGTGGAAGCGAGGAGTCCTAACCACTGGACCTCCAGGGAATTCCCGAGGACAGTCCAGTTTTTAGAGCGAGGAGAGTAAATTTCCTCATTTCCCCCAAAGATCTCTGAAGGGATAAAACCCATTTCCAACTTTTTCTTCGTTGTCAGACTCTGCCCCCTCCTCTGGCCACCAGCCCAGGGGTTTACCAGAAATCAGGTCAGAAGTCTCAGGACCAGAGCTCCTCTCTGGGGGCAGGTCAAAGCAGAGGGCTGCCCCCAGACCCAGGCAGCCTGGCAAGCTCCAGCAGACTGCTCCCTCCACACGGAGGAACGAGGGCTGAAAACTGGAGGAGGTAACCTGAAACCTCGCCTCTGGGGAGTCAGAGGTGCATAGGGATGTACCTTTTCTCCCACACTTAACTGAGTTTTCTTAACACTTCTAATAATTTTTCAGGGTATTTTCTTAGGTTTAGGACAGTAGATCTCAATCATATTAAAAATCATCTTCGGGGAGTTGGGGGAGGGGGAATTGGATGAAGGTGGTCAAAATGTGCAAACTTCCAGTTATAAGATTAAGTACTAGGGATGTAATGTACAACATGATGACTATAGTTAGCACTGCTCTACGGTATATATAAAAGTTATTAAAAGAGTAAACCCTAAGAAGGATTTCCATCACAAGGAAAAAAAAATTGTTTTCTTTTGTTTCTGCATCTGTATGAGATGGTGGATGTTCACTAAACTTATTGTGGTAACCGTTTCATGATATGTATAAGTCAAATCATTATGTGGTACACCTTAAACTTGTACAGTACTGTAAGTCAATTATATCTCAATAAAACTGGGGGACAAAAACCAAAAACCAAAACAAACAAACAAAAAAGAACAAGAAAAAAATCATCTGGAGAACTTCAATATTTATTGATGCCTGGGTGCCGTCCAGTCCAATTAAGTCAGAATCTTTGTTGATGGGTGGACAATATATATCTGTATATCTGTCTATTCAATATTTTTTGGTGCGTGTACACACACACACACACTCACATGACCATTCTAATATAAGGCCAAAGTAAACAACTGAGTTATCTAAAAATAAAGAGAATTTGTCTCCTTTCTAATATTTATACCAGTGGTTCTCAACTGGGGGTGATTCTGCCCCCCAGGCACATTTGGCAATGTCTAGACACATTTTTGGTTGCCATGACCGGGGGTTGGGGAGGAGGATGCTACTGGCATCTAGTGAGTAGAGTTCAGATGTTGCTGAACATCCTGCAATGCCCAGGACAGCCCCCTATAACAAAAAGTTATCCAAGCAAAACGTCAATAATGTTGGAGTTGAAAAACCTTGATTTCTATATTTTCTTTAAATTTCTTGTCTAATTGCATTGGCCAGAACAGCAAGAACACCATTAATTACCAATGGTGATCACTTCTGGGAAGACGGAGTAGACATACTTTCCCTTACTCCTCCTGTTAACTACAACTAAAAACCCCTAGACATTATACATAAAACAAACATTAAGAAGACTCTGAAAGATGGAGAGAAGAAAGAAGACCAGCTAAGGATCTCAGACACGGTGGTAACTTCTCTGGATTTCTTTTTGCCTCACATATCCCAGACTAGGAGTTGAAGAAGTAGGCAATCCAGAAATGACAATGGGCACAGACCAGAAAGACCCCAAGAAAAGGCTTCTCTCTACCAAAAGGATCAAGAAAGGGGCAGTTTAGCAAGGTAGAAAACTTTTAGATAATAACCAAGTCTACTCCAGTGAAACACCATGTAAACAACTGTGGTTCCCCCACCTACACCAGAAGATGCCCAGTGGAAAGCCTAGACATCCACCCTCACCTGGGTTGTGTAGGAAGTCATCCTTGATGGGTAGTAATGAGCTCACCCCCAACAATGGCAGTGGAGACCACTGGGGAATCCTGAACCTGTATGGCCTTCTAAGCCACACCTCCCCGCCTCATGACCCTGCTTGCTGGTGCCCATGGCCGCTATTCCCGTGGCTCAGCCACTTTCTCGCATTTTGTCCTATCTGGGTTTCCAGGCCTTCCTATGGTTGGCAACGGGCCGACAGGACAGCAGGGAATGGCACCATGGGACCTGCCGAGCCCCCTGGACGTGGTGAGGGGGAGGGAGGCGGTAATATGGCTGATTTACTGAACCTGCACTGAAATTCAAGCGTTATCTTCTTACTGACCAGGGAACTGAGTCAAAGACAGTTCTTTCCTTCCCTCCAAAACCAGCCACCTCATAAAACCAAACCCATACGTTCTCTAAGACAACTGAAGGAGAACGCCGAGATATAGTCGAAACCAGAGCTGACGCTTCATTGGGCTCTTGCTTCCGTGGTGGAGTTTGCCCTCCACCCCAAAGATTCAAATAATGTATTAGAATTCTCTGGCCAACACAGGCTGCAGTGTCCCTGGTCAGGAGGTCCCGACAGTGCTTCTGCCTCGGTTACCCCGAGAGGGGGACCAGCGGGAACATGTGGCCCTTGGGGGGTACATGGCGGGTGGGTGTATGGGCTGGCAGGGGGCAGGGCAGGCACCTGTATCTGTAGCCCCGCAGGACTCTCTGGATGCTGACTGCAGCCTTGTCCAGGGCCTGGCTCCTCTGTACCGCCAGCAGGGTTTCCTGGTTTTCCTGGGATGGGAGAGATCTCATCATGCAGCTGCCCTGCCTCAGCCCTACTCGCCCACCTGCAGCCAGAAGTCAGGGTGTCTCAGACTCTTCCCACACAGCTCCTAGGAGGGCGGGCAGGGGAAGGGGGGCTCCTAGGAGGGCGGGCAGGGGAAGGGGCCCTCATGCTGCCACCGATGTGGCTCAGAGCAGAGAACCGCAGCTACATCCCCAGCCCCAATCCAAGAACTTCCCATTTTAGTTCTTTCTTCTTGTTGATTCGATCTGGGAAATTTCACTTCTGCTCTGGAGAACCCAAGAGGGGGGCAAAACATTTCCCCAAAGCTGTATTTTATTTCCCAAAATTCATGTGCAACGCTCATTCAGCTGTAATACAGATGCACGCTTGTTTTCATATAAACATGAATTCCAGCCTTTGCATAGAATTCAGAGTGTGAGGTCATGAGCCGTATTCATCCCTGAGCGGTGACTTTCCCTGGCCCACCTCCCTGCTCCCCCTGGATCCCGGGCCCGGAAGGAAGGGACTGTCTTTGCAGAGTAGAGCGCAGCACAGCCCTTTGGTAAGTGATGAGCAGAGGCCAGAGGCTTGGTGGCCCTTCCTGCCCCCATCAGTCCTGCATCAAGCAAGCACTGGGTCTCCTCGTGTGCCTGGGTGGGCCCTGGGGACACAGAGATGGACTAGACCCCCGACTGTGGCCTCACGGAGCAGCCAGGGAGGGGGAGGGATGGAGGGGCGGGCACTCTCCTCTCCTCCTTGGCCATCCATCCACACTGACCCCACTCTCCATACCGCACCCTCCTGGGCAGCGGCCCTGGGACTCTCCAGACCTCTTCCCTCTGCCAGCCTCACCTCCCCAGTGGGGTCTGAAACCCCTCTGCTTCTTCCTTCCTGTCAAGCCCCAGAGTCCCAGCACAGGCAGACCTGACTAACGCATGGACCTATGGACAGACCCACTGGAGAGCTGCGGCTGGGAGGACAGACAAGGACGTTTGGGCAGGCTCTACGGGGGAGGAGGAGAGAGTGGAGGCCTCAGGAAGGGCAGTGGGGACGAGGTGGGGTGCGGGGCCGGCTGGCAGAGCCCTGATTCTAGCCCTGATCTTCTCTTTCTCGCCCTGCTGACCTGCCCAAGGCGTGTGAGGCTAGGAGACGCAGAGGTTCTCTCCCTGTGGCTCTCTGACCCAGTTCGCAATCCTGGAGGGCCCGAAGGCCAGCCTCAAGGGCGGGAGGCTGCCTCTGCGTGACCTTGAGCTTCCCTGTGAGTTGATGGCGAGGGAGGTGGGAGGTGGGAGATGGTGCTGCTTGTACTGGCCGGCCAAGGAGCTGTCATGGGGGGAGGGGGCACACTGCCTCCTGCCTGAAGCCCCGCCTCTCCAGGGAGGCAGGGGCGGGGCTTCCCCAGGTCTGACTGCAGACTGTGGCCCCGGGCCTGAAGGGCTGTTCTCCGGGACAGTGGGAGACCTCCCTCAGCTCCTTCTTGCTCTCCCACGGTGGCTTGGAGGCAGTCCCTCCTTCTCCTCAGGCCTTGCCCTAAATGTCCTCCTCTGAGAAGCCCCCGGGCTTTCACGGCCGTGCTCTCCCCGTGACGCCCTCCTCCCTTCCTCCCTAGCGTGGCTTTCTTGAGGGCAGGGGCCACGCACGGCGCAGGCGCCCACGGGCACCAGACCAGCCACACAGGCTTCCGGAGGCTGAGGACCAGCACGTTCAGGGTCTCACCTTCAGGAAAATTTTGGTCTTTCCCATTTTCCAGTCTTTGTCTGTTCCCAGCCTGCTTTCGGCGATGCGCAGGGTCATCTGGCGAAACTTGCCCCGAAGCTGCCGAAGAGAAACAGGACTGGCTCTGTGGAGTCACGCCGGAGCCTGAGGTCCCTCCTCGGGGCTTCCTAGGGAGCGGGGTCCTTCTGCTCCCACAGGGGTCGCCGTCAGGGGCTCCTGGGCAGGGGCACAGGCACTGGGCACCCTGGATCAAGGGTGGGGCCCAGGGGCCCAAGAGGCCACCACAGCTTGTAGGGCCTGGGGCCTCAGTGTGGCCGTTGGACACAGGCAGCCCAAACTTCAGGATGGCTGAGTGTTCGGGGAAGCCTAGGAAGCAGGAAGTGTCCTGCTCCCTGGCCACTTATCATCTCTGTGACATTCCGCCACGTAAAAGAGTGTTTGCTTTTAACTGCGGATGCTCCTAGAAGGAACATATTCAGCCGCTAGCCTCGTCTAGAGAAGGGAAGCAGGAACGGGGGTCATTTCAAAGCTTGGAGTCCAGGGAGGGGCCCTGGGCATCAGGTGGGCAGCCCGCTTTGAACGGCGGCCGTGTGGGCGCACAGAGGCGGCTGGGTTCTGCGGATGCGCACGCCGCCTCTCGGGGCCCGTGTGCCGGGCTGCGGGGACACACACCTCCCTGCGCGCGGCGCTGGGCAGCAGGACGCGGAACCTCTGCGAGAACTCCTCGAACGAGTAGCGGATGGGGAATCCGGACTTGCGGATGTGCACCGTCTCCATCATGCCTGAGTAGCGCAGCTGCCAGATGCATAGCTCCCGGTTGAAGAGCTGCGGGCGCAGAGGAGAGGGGCTGATGGCGCGGGCCTCCCCCTTCCGGACCTCCCTGCCACCAACCCTTCGGCTGTCCACCAGATGCAGGAGAACCAAGCAAACGCTTGGTTTCATGAACGTTCTGTTTTGAAGGGAGATATTTGGTTGAAGTCGCTGCAAAGTCCTGGAAGTGTTTTCCAGGGAGCTCAACAGTCGATAACATACGAACTGGGACATCCACAAGAACACCAGATGCTTCCTGCATTTTCAGAATATGCAAAGTATGAGGAGTATCGAAGTGTTTTTGCACATATGCCACATTTAACATTTTTTGAAGCGCCCCCAAGCAATGGTGCCAAAGAACACGGCTTCCTTCTGGCTTTGCCTGTGTCGGGGTGACTGGTGCCCCTGCAGTCCTTCGGGCTGGGCCTCCATCGTGCCTCTCACACTCTAGTGGAAGGAATAAGTACCTTTCCTACTTTGAGTCAGAAAATATTCTAAACTTAGTCTGTCCATCCTCCAGAGATGGGTATTTGGAGAGGAGCTTGGCCACGATGCTTTGCCCAGGGGTATGGGGTCTCAGCCATGGCCCCGAGACTCTGCATGCCTGGGACCCTCGAGAGCCCCCCTCCACCTCCAACCAGGAGTGTCTGGGGACTAGGGGCAAGCCCTCCAATCCGGCAAGCCCACCAGCACCTGGAAACACAGAGGGCCACAGAGGCAACTGCCTGTGGCATCTAGGGCCGCACAGTAGTTAGTTCTGGGCAACTCCTTAGCTCCCATGTATTATTTCCGGTGGGCCTGTGCTTTGCCTTTAATCTTTACAACAGCCCTACCTGGTGTGGCACTCAGCTCCAACTTAGAGACCAGCTGCCTGAGGCTCAGGGCCACGCTCCTGAGTGGCTGAGCCAGGGTTCCTACCGTGAGCCTTCCTGGCCCCTCAGCCTGGGTTCCCCTACACCCACACAGCAGCTACCAACTCCCAGAAATGTCTCAGCCGGGGGCACCCACAAGACCTGAGAATGACCCTCAGGCCCCCACCTGTGGGTGTGGGTAGAGGACCTCTGGGAGCACAGTTACTCTCTAACATCTGTGCATTGTGCCTTTAAGGAAGACACACTTTGGATCTCCTGGGCCAGCCTGAATTTCATATGATTTTATACTTTTCAAAAAGGCACATCATTTAATGTAATATTATTTCTTTTCTTAAGATTTTTTTTTTAAATCATGTTATCTCCTCTCAGATGGCATCTCCGAGTTTCTGGAATCCTGTATTTGCAGCCTCTGGGTGGGACTCCCAAGCCCACGTTTCAGGGGCTGGGCAGGCAGCAGGCTCCCACCCCGCCCCACACATAAGCAGGTAAAGCCGCCTTCCAAGGGCTGCATGGCCTCAGGTCTCGGTGACCAGCAGTTGGTGTCAGTCTCTAAAATCACAGTACTGGTTGCTGCCCCTTATGGAGTGTGGTTTACGTATGCAGATGTGGCAAAAAACGTCATGTGCAATCCTTGCTGCCCCCTGCAGGCAGGCAGGTCCTGAATTTAAGGAAGAGAAAACTGAGGCTCAGAGAAGCAACACACCTGGCCAATGGCAGGCGAATGGCAGGGCTGAGACCGTTGAGGTCCGGGTGATCCAAAGCCCTGAAGGTCACAGACCTTCAAATGGCCTAGACTGGTCACCTTGCCTCAGTACCCACATCTGTAAAATGGGGGCAGATAGCTCTAAAGCTGCCCAGACACTCGTGCGGGGAGTGACATGACCCCAGATGCCATCAGACTCATCCAGTAGAGGCCTTCTCCCTCCCCGCATTACCAGTGGCTTCTTGAACTCATTGGGTTTGATGCAGCGGATGAAGTAGGGCTGGCGGTTGGTCAGGATTTTCATCAGCTGGTCCAGGGACTGCTTGAACTGGCCCGCCAAGGTGGAGGGCCGCTTGCTGGAGTCTGCAGACTGCAGGCAAAAGCACAGGGCACAGGTGGGGGGCTGGGGAGCTTGGCCTGGGGCACAGCTGACCCACGGCACAGTGAGGGCTTCTGCCGAGGTCCCGCAGGTGGGCAGGGCTACATTCATCCAATCGCTCATTCATTCATCTAGCATAGGTTCCCCAAGTGCCTACGTGTGCAGGTGCCCAGCTAGACACTGGGGACCCAGAGTCAAGTAAGACAGGGCAAGCCTCCTGTCTAGGGGTGGGGCCCCCCAAGTGGGGCGCACAGATGATGCACCAGGGTGAGGAGCGAATGCTTTACCTCACCATTCTACATTTTCAGTGTTTGTATCGGTTTTATATGCTTTTTTTGAATGTTTTATACTGTACATTGTAAGCATTATAGTAAATGTATACAGTTTTAAAATACATGTATTAAAATGATGGATGCAAGAGAAAACAAGAGCCCAAGCCCCGGGCCAAGAGTAGTGTGTGTTTTTGTGCAATGCTGGCTTTGGACAATGCTCCTTGATCAAACCTTTCCAAGGTCGAATGTTCTTGAGTGTGTACTGCCAAATTGCGTCAGTCTGGAGACACGAGCTCACCATTTGACACCTCTGAAAGCAGGATGCGATCACTGGCGGGCCTAATGACGATGGGTAGCATTTTCCTGTTGTCCTGGCTTATAAAATAATGTGCATTTCCCTCCACTGTCATTCTGTTCCCTGAAACCTGTGGGACATGCTCTGGTGTCCCCACAGGGCCAGGAGTAGGCTGTGCTCCGGCCTCCGCTGTGACGTCCAGGCTGGCTCTGTGAATGCAGAGGGTCTGGCCCAGCTCCGCCTGGTTCCAGACCTGGGCAATTCCTGCACAGCCTCGCGGCTCCCTGGTGGCCCCCTGGGCTGGCTCTGCACGTGGCTGTGCTGCGGGCCCTGGGCGCTAAAGCCTCTGGAGTAGAGGTGGGGGTTGGGATGATGAGAGGTCAAGGGCACCTCAGTGTGGCCAGAGCTGACTGTGCAGCATGCGGGGGAGAGGACAGGGGGCGTCCTCTGCTGCACCCACAGTTCCTGAGCCCCTGAGCCGGCCTCATCTCCCTGCCTGGGCGTGGGGGAGCTCCTCGTCAGGTGACTCACAGGGCTTTTCTGGAACAGTCACTGTTAAGGGGTGAAGGCATGGCTGCTAGGGGTGCGCAGACCCGCACCCTGCTGGGGCGTCCTAGGCTGCTCTGAGGAGCACCTGGGGCTCTCTGCTGCCCACCTCCCTGGCCAGGAGCCTCAGTGCTGCTGCCACCACACCACACACACACACACACACACAC